GTCCTTATAAAAATGAGTGTCTTGAAGGCAATACATAGTTGAGTGTCCTAGACATATGATTCTAAACAACTAAGCATATGGTAACATAGTCCACTAGGTATGTAGAAACTTTTTAGTTAGGCAGCTGGCTAGGGTAAAACCAGATTTCATGGAGTCCGTACTTATATAATTTGAGGAATACTTTTTTTTTTTTTTTTAAAGGAACTTAGGTTTTGAAGCACAAGTTTAGGTACAAGTGACAAGTAATAAATTTTAAGCTTCATTGGCTTTATGGTAAATTTATCTCTACATCTGGCACATGGTAAACATTCTATTTTTGTCCAGGTATGGTGGCACACACCTGTAATTCCAACACTCAGGAAGCTCAGGTAAGAGGATCACCACAAGTTTGAGGCCAGCCTGGATTCCATAGTGAGTTTGGAACCAGCCTAAACTACATAGCAAGAACCCATCTCAAAACAAAACAAAACAAAATCTATAATATTGAATGATTTTTTTACTAATAGATATCAGTTAAATTTGAAGTTGGGTGAATGTGACTAGTGGTAGCTTCTTGCTTTCATTCACTTTAATGTAATATGATTTAACAGTATTTTTGCCTTAGTCAATCAGCTTTACTTCCTGTCTTTATTTCATGTATATGCTAGTCTACCAGGTAAAGAACCTGCAAATGAAATATACAACCATATGATTTTTATTTTCTTGATTTATTAAGTATATAATAATTTCTCAGAGGTCTGTGAGCATATTTTATTGTGTAAATCCAAAAATTTAAACTGGATTCCAAGACTAAAATGATCCAAAAGTTTAAAAAAATTTTATAGATAACTACAAATGTTTTGCCCCAGACCCTAAAGATTCATGAACTCTGTCAGATTGAGGAGCATGTAATTATAATTACTTTACACTTCATTTTGCTGAAGGGACATTCAAATAAATGAAAAGTGAGGAATCTTATAAGAGATCATCATGTAAAGACTGTATAGTGTTTCCAAAAAGAAAGTAAAAAGTAAAGACTTTCATGGTAGAGTGATAGTGTCGATTTAAGAAGTACTGAGGTGTATCTTCCTCAAATTAACTCCAATTCCCTGTTACAATTTTTAAAAATAGAGGAAAAAATCACAGCATTCATGGAGAATAACAAAGTGAGATCGGATTTATTCCAGAAATAATTTGTTGGATCCAGATTTTATAACTAACACTTACAACGCCACTAAACATAAAGCACTCACAGAAGGACCCAAAAGTAAAACTATGCATATATGAGTATTTTTTTCCTTTGGTTTATACCCTTGTATTTCAGTGCTGCATAGTCTTAATAGTAGCTAGAGTAATTCTTGGATATTCTTTACTGTTTGTTTTGACATGAATTTTAAGACTAGTCCCTCAAATTCCATGAGAAATGTTGGTGGGGGAGAGGGCTTCAATTAAAGTTTCGCTGAGTTGTTGAGATTATTTGGGAGCTAGAATTGATTTTTTTAGATGTAGTCTTCCCAGCCATAGTAGGTCTGTTATGGATTGTATTTATTTGTTCCCCCACCCAAACCTCATGCAGACAGAGGTGGGGCTTTTTGGAAGTGGCTGGATCTAGGGTGTATGATACTTAGATTTAGGATAAATGATTACTAAATTTGTCCACTAATTGGTTTAGAATCATTCTAGGTGTGCATAAGGGGAATGCCCACCCTGGGTGTGGGTGGCACCACCCAAAATACTGGAAGGTTGGATGGGATAAAAGAGAAAGGGAGGTTTGCTGCTACTGCCTCTGCTGTTTTGCTGCTGTTTCACTGTCTCCTGCCTGCTTCCCATGAACTATTTTTCCTCTGTAATGGCATCCTGCCTTGGAGTCAGTTGACTATAGACTGAAACCTCTGTGAACTGAAATAAACCTTTCCTCCTTTAACTTTGGATGTCAGGTATTATGTCCCAGCAATGAGAAAAATAAGACAAGGTCTGTGTCTGTATTTTAATCAGATGTTAATTTATGTCCTTCAACAAGGGTTGATAATTTCTTTTCAGATGTATTGCTATCCTTTGTTTATTTTCAGTGGACAAGCAGATATATATTTCGCCAGAGAACAGAAAAGGGCACATTTATAAAGCTAGAGAACTGTGATTCCAGATAAGAACAATCCAAGTGAAAAATAAAAAATCACATAGTATACTTAATAATGTAGATGCAAAGGTCTTAAATATCAACAAATTGAATGCAGATATATGTATTTTAATTATTAATAATGTCTTTAATGAATAGAAGGACATGAAAGTACATATCCCCTGAATTAAAAGCAGAAAGGCACAAGATTATTTCATTTTATGTACATGTAAGTTGCTTCTAGTTTTTCATTCTTTTAAGCAGTGCTTTAATCACCACTCTTGGACATACATTATCCTATCATTTTCTTAGGAAGATTTTCTAAAAGAACATGTGAAGTTGGAGCCAGGGATGTAACTCAGTGGTGCTGTGCCTTCCTGGCAAGTGCAAGGTCCTTAGTTTGACCCCCGGTATGGGGAAAAAAAAATAAAGAATATGTGAATATGCAAAGTTTAATCTCTGATATATTGTTAAATATGAGTTCAGCAAACTTTCTTTGTAAAAGGCCAACAAATATTACAGGCTTGTAGGCCAAGAGGCAAAACTGAAATTATTATGTAGGTACATATATAATGAGAGAAAACAGATTTCCATAAATCTTTATTGATGAAATAAAAATATGATAAAATTGAGCACAATGATAGAAATATCTGCCTACAAAAATGAAATGGATTATTTTGGGAGAGATAACATTGGTGTTCCCTGTCATCCAAATCTATTGCATTAAATATTGATTGTTAATGCTCATGTACAATGAGATTTTCCATATTTCACCTTTGCAAATGCCTTGCACATACAGTACATAGGTACTGCCAAACACTGATATCAATCCATGAACATATGGTTTTATTTGAGCATATTCACAGATTGGAAGGCATTTTTAGAATTCTATTAGCTAAAAGGCTAGAATGCCTTTTAGCATGTCATTACATTGCAAATCACTTCCAATTAAAGTTCCTCAATTGCAGTTTAATGGATTTTGAAATATGGAAATTTCCTTTGCACATGCATAGAGGTCTGAAAAATACTGCTGTAGTTTGAAATTAGAAAATATATTGTGGAGAATTTGTGTAGGAATGGAAATATCACTTTTTTATAAAAACTTTTGACAGTGCAGGCCTGACATTACTTGCAATTCAAACAATGTTAGTTCTTATTGAAATGACTTTATCACAGTGTTTCACATATGTTTCACATATACACACTATTTTGTCTTGTAATTTTAGCTTGAGACATTTTCAAGTATGCAGTAAAAGCCATTCAAAAAGCAGTAGTCAAGTGTACGTCTTCCAGCCATTTAAAAATATAAAAAATTACTCTTGATGACTGTACAAACACATTTCAGATATGGCTCATTGGCCATAGCTTGCTGACCCCTACTCTATAAAGTTTTTAACTACTTATTTTCCCAGTAAGTTTACTGTTTTCCCAAAGTTTTGTAACCAGTGAACATTGATTTAACCTATGAGCTTTTTGTGGTCTTGTTTTTCTGAGAGAGGGTCTTACTGGGTAGTTCTTGCTGGCCTTGAACTCATTATGCAGCACAGGCTAGCCTGGAAAACACAGTGATCCTCCTGCCTTAACCTCCCAAGTGCTGGGATTATAGGCGTGTGCCACCACACCCAGCTACCAATGAGCTTTTTGGATGGTAACTCTCTTTACATACTGTATATTATGTACTGTAAAATCATTACACACTGTATACATGTATTGAGTTATGACACTGTTCCCAAAATTAAAGTGACATTTTTTCAATTTATGCTTATTTGAATAAGGTGAAATATCTTTTCCTTATTATAGGCCACTTATATTTATTCTTCGTTGTAAAATAGCTTTTGATATTCTTTTTTTATTACAGTGCAATTTTAAACAATCATTCTGCAGACCACAAAGATTTTTAAGCCCTTTTTAGTGACTCTACCTGCTTATTCAGTATTATTTTCCACTGTCTTCTTCATATCCAATACTTCTTCCATTCAAAAGATCTAAAATTGCCTGACAAAGCTGTGTAAGGTTTCTCAAACTTCATTGCACCAGATATCAGATAGTTTCTGTTGCCCTTTGTCCTTTGCTTTTAGTCTTGATTTTTACTCATCCCTCAAGGCTCAAGTCAAGGACAAGTTCTTCCTCTTTGGATCCAACCTGTGCAAATATCTGCCATAAAATCAAACATGCTTTTATATAATTAACTGTTGATTTATAGTAGTCTGTCTCTCCTCTAGACTGAACTCTTGACACTTCTGTTGTATTTGATGAGTTTATTCAGAACAGTGCCCAATACTTACAAGGTACTACTTATTGCATGAGTTCAAAATAGTAATGGTATTGGTAATATTAAGAAATATATGACATATATTTAAAAATGAAAGACATTCTGTGTAATACTACTTATGTAGTCCTTTTAGTACAACATACAATTAAATTTTGAAGAAATTCCCTCCCTCAAAGTCACATACGGTGGTGCATGCTCAGGCAGCTAAAGCAGGAGAATCACTGAGGCTAGGACTTCAAGATCAGGCTAGGCAACTCAGCAAGATCCTGATGCAAAAAAAAAAAAAAAATGAAAAGGATCCCTCAGATATTAGATCTTCAACAAATAAAATAATAATTAAGGTTTTTATTCCCTGATAAAACTGAGGATATCATTTATTAAAATGTCTTTTCTCTTAAGGCATAAAATAATTTATTGAAATAACTGCCTTTAGTTATAACTCTGGTCTCCATTTAAGAAAAATTTATTTGTACTGGGAAATAAAACTAAAAATTTAAAAATACAAAAATGAATATTCACTGGGCCATGTGCATTTTGTTATTTGAACAGTAAGTTTCTTCCTTTCAAAATAGTCTTTGTAATTTGACCAATATTTATTTTGGATTAATCTTTTACGTTGCTTTATTTCCCAAGGATATCCATTACCTTGCCCTAGAAAAGGGTGAACTGGCATTAGCTGAAGTGGCAAGGAAAAAAGCGAGTGACATTGATGAAGAATCAATAACCTCTGGAGTCGGTAATGCTGGTTATTTTTATGGGTTTTTGTTTTAATCAACACTTAGCATCATTTCTTTTTATGTATGTAGGTCATGGTTGGTTTGAATTACATTTATTGTAAAGAAAGTGTCCTTTAAAAAAGAATTATTAAGTTTGCAATTACTACAGTACTGGCAAACAAGTTGTAATTATACATATTAAAATTATCAGTGATTAGTCACTATTTAGCAAAAAGTGAAAAAAATTGCTTTTGATAAGATTTGGGGGAAAAGAGTTTTTTATCATCAGTGCTCTTATAAACCAACATAGAAATGTATATAACCATTTATTTACACACAGACATATCTTAAAAGAATTTTCTCCTGTATCAAAATATTTCATATGGGATTTCAGGTTTGTTGGGTAATTTTTTGTTTAGAAACTGCCATGGTGATTTTTATAGTGTATTCCAAAAAAGTATCAGAAGCCAAGGTTGAATCTAAAGATTTATTTAAACTTTACAGTACAGCAAAATAAAAGATTTTAAAATGTACTATAAACATTAACTTCTTTTACTTTTTGGTATTGAAGATGAAATCCAGAGGCATTCAGACCACTGAATTACACCTCCAGCTCTTGGGTTTTTGAGGCAGGGTCTCACTAAATTGCCTGGGCTAGCCTGAATTTGTGATCCTTCTGCCTCAGCCTTCCAAGTAGCTGGGGTGAGAGGTGTGCACCACTGCAGTCACAAGTCCTGCTGAACTTTCTTTTTCTAAACTCAATTTATCTAATTTCACTAAATCTGGCAGTATTGAAACTTGAACATAACAATTCCAGTTTTTCCTGGCATCTCTTAGTCTTAGCTTATATAAACAACCCTCAGGATTAAAATAGAATTCATTTCATTTCTCTCTGGATTCCTATAAAACAAGAGGTTTTCATCTCTTTATGCCTAGTGTTCCACTTTTGGAACTCCCATAACAGTGGCACAGTGGGGCATAATAAATTTCTCTTCAAATTCTTGTTACTTGAATTTTTGTAGGTAACATATGAATTTCATGGAAAATTTTTTAATATTGCAATATTCAACATAAATAGCTCGATAAAATTCCCACATTGTAAGTGCTTGAAAATATTATAGTGAGCTTCTCCACTGATAGATCATGTTATGCTTTGTCTTTGTGATGATAACGTTTACAGCCAAAAAGACCAACTGGCTTCTCTGACACCACGTTATAGGTTCCAGTTTTCAAGATGATTTTAAAGGGCACTCAAAGCCATACTACTAGGTTAGCCCTAAACCTAAATATCAGGATTGACAATTACTTAACCAGTAACAGAATTCCTTTCTCCTTCCCTACCCTGAGAAAGTTGCATATTGAGCCCATAAGAATACCTTTTAATTGGTCTGTCACTGTACTGTGTTACTAAGACTATGATGTGTCTCATAATAGCAATAATAATAGCTAGTATTTATTGAATGCTCCCTATGGGACAGGCACTATTCCAAATTATAGATATCAACAAATTTAATCCTCATAACTATGTTGCAGGTACAATTTGTCTTATGAGAAATCATTTTTAAATCAATTGTGAAACCGTGTTAATAGGAATTATGTTGTATAATGAGGATTTTTTCCAAAAATCTGCATCCCTATCTCTTTAGCCATTCAGGAGAACACAGCATTCTTAACTTTCTAGGAATTTTCCTTAGTGTCCCTGCTTGCATCAGGATATCAAATATAATGAAGTCTGTCTTTGTATTTTAAAGCTACTTAGAGGTACTAAGGTAGGAAGGGAATGTGAAGAAATTACCATTAAATTTCAGAAAAGTGAAGAAACTCCATTCATCAAAATGTATCTGTGTCCCTCTAGGGCAGGTTACTGTGGCCGAGTTGATAATTCATACACAGAAAGATGGATGTCCCTTCTTTGAGCCCTGCCTCATTTTTAACAAATACATTTTTTGCTGAAGCACTGTGACTACTGTTTTCTAAGGCTATGACCCAGATTACTGTCCCTTGATAGAGACATCACTCAGTAACATCAGTAGCTAACAAGAGGTTAACCTCTTAAATGAATACAGTATTCGCTCCATTTTTAGTCTAGGAAACTGGGTGACTCAGTCATGACTCTAAATGGAGTTTAGGGAACAATCTCTAAGTTCGTTATCATAGCCTATGCCCTTTTCTTCGTTACAGCTCATATGCTGGTGCATGCTAATTTTTCTCATATTCCCTCCATTTAAATCACTGTTCTCTCAAACTTTTCCCAAAGCAGAAAGTCATTAAATTTTTGGCTTTCAAAGGTGTTCTTTGATGCAAGCAAGAGGCTAAATTAGATATCAAGAATACTTAAGTAGTTCAGTCTACATGGGAGAATCTGTAAGAAAAAAAGTATTACACATAGTACCTGTCAGCACAGTTAAAAGCAAGAGTTGCTAAAGGAAAATCTGAATGATAATCTGAATAATTTGGTAATTTTAATGCTTTTTATTAAAGTATAACATACATAGAAATGCACAAATCATAAGGATATGACCCAGTGAACTTCCTTCCACAAAGAGGACATATCTGGTTGCCAATAACTAAGCCAAGTAACATATATTACCAGAACCTCAGAAGTCCTCCTGTATCTACTTCAAGATACTTTACTCCCATCCTACCTATCCTGACTTTATTACGCCTTATTTCAAGCTTTACATAATGTAATGATAAGAATTCAGTTCATTTTCATCAACACAATAACTGAGAATCTCTCATATTGTTTCAGGTCATTGTAATTATTTTTCTTTTATTTTTGATGCTATGGCTCAAACTTGTGCATGCTAAGCATATGCTCTACCACTAAACTATACCCCAGCCTGTAGTTTCGTTCATTCTTATTGTTAACAGTATACCAATGTATAAATATACCATAATTTCATTCATTCTATTTTAATGGATTCTGGCTAATTTCTATTTTTATTTTAATTTTCTTTATTTATTTATTTTTGGTTTTTTGAGACAGGGTCTCACTATGTAGTTCAGACTGCTCTGGAACTCACTTTGTAGCCCAGGCTGGTCTTGAACTCACAGCAATCCTCCTGCCTCCGCCTCCCGAGTGCTGGGATTACAGGCATGCGCCACCACACCCTGCAAATTTCTATTTTTAATGTATTACATGAAGTACATACTCTATTGTGTAAACATGGTAGGTATACATTTATAATATTTACTTGGATAGCTTTTTAATTGTTTTATTTTCCCTTCTGACAGCCTTAGTTTTGGCATGTTGTCCACTTATGCAGGATATATTAATATAAAGTGCATCCTTGTCTGACATGCTAACTTCTGTAAATCTTGGTAGGAGAATTTTTTTTTTCTCATTGAGTTTTTTTGGTACTTTTTAAATATACAGAATAGTTACATTCATCATTGGGATCTTGCACCTTTACATGACAGGTCTTGGTTCTAATTTTTTCCCCTTGTCCCTGCCTTCCCTTCACCCCCTCCTCCCTGCCCTATTTACAAACATTTTATTTCCATTTTTTTTCATTTTCTCAGATTTTTTTCTTTTTCCTTATTTCTTTCCTCTACCCTTCCCACTTCCCCTACACATTTAGCCCTTTTCTTCCTAATACACATTGTCAATTATACTATTATGATCTTATTTACAATTTGTGGGACTTATTTATTTTACTTCAGCGTATAAACTCAGTATGCAACCATTTTCCTATGAATGACTCTAATTTCTCATTCTTCGTGACTGAGTAGTATATCATTTTATAGAAAAACCACATCTTCTTTATCCAGTCTCCAACTGATGGGCAAATGGGCTGTTTCCAAGTTTTAGCTATTACAAACTGTGCCGCTATAAACATGGCTGTGCATATATCACTGTGATACAATTCTTATAATTCTTTTGGAAAGATACCCAGCAGAGAGTTGGCTTGGTCAAATGGAACCCTAATCCTAGTTCTTCGACGTATCTCCATATTGATTTCCATAGTGGTAACACCAGTCTGCACTCCCACCACCAATGGAGAAGGGTTCCTTTCTCCCCACAACCCCACCAACATTTGTTACTGGTTGATTTCTTGATAGCAGCCATTCTTTCTGGGGTGAGGAGGAATCTCAGTGTTGTTTTCATCTGCATCTCTTGAATAACCAGTGATGTGGAACATTTTTTCATATATATATTTACTTGATGCTTTTACTTCTTTATCTGAGAAATGTCTGTTCATTTCAAATGCTCATTTTTGAATCGGGTCTTTATATTTGGGGGCCTGATTATTTTTCAGTTCTTTATATATTCTAGATAATAGTCCTTTGTCTGAGTCGCAGCAGGTAAAAACTTTTTCCCACATTGTAGGTTGTCTTTTAGTTCTGTTCATAGATTCTTTTGCAATGCAGAAGCTTTTTAAGATGAGATCCCGGTTGTTGATTCTTTGTGTTATTTCCCGGGCTACTGAGGATTTGTTCATGAAGTCTCTTCCTATGCCAGTGTCTTCAAGAGTTCTACCTCATTTATCTTCTAGAAAATTTAGTATCTTTTTTGATATTAAGATCTTGAAGGCACTTGGATTTTAGTTTAGTACATGGGTCCTGTTTTAATCTTTGGCAGGTTGAAATCCAGTTTTTCAAACACCATTTATTAAAGAGGCTATCTTTCTACCACTGAGGATGGATGGCTCCTTTGTCAAAGAAGAGGTACCTGAGTGTATATGGAGTTGTTTCTGTATCTTCCAATCTATTCCACTGATCCTCAGGTCTTTTTCTTTGCCAGTACCATGCTGTTTTTATCACAGTGGCTTTGTAGTACAGTTTCAAGTTGGGAATTGTGATTCTGCCATGTCTCTGTTGCCTAGAATTGCTTTTGCTATTCTAGGTCTCTTCTGGTTCCAAATGAATTCTTGGATTTTTTTTTTTCTAGTTCTATGAAATATAGGAATTTCAATCGGAATTGCATTGAATCTGTATAGCAGTTTTGGTAGTATGGCCATTTTCACTATGTTGATTCTTCCTACCCAGGAGCAGGGGATATCTTTCCATTTTCTTA